TGTGGTAATATTTTGACAGGATTTTGCAGATCAAACAGTGTAAATATAATAAATTTTTGTAACTGCAATATTAATTTTGCATATTATTAAACAAAATAGTTAAAAGATAATTTTGATGATTAAATCTGTTGGCTCTCTATCTCGGTCATACAACACACACATCCACATACAATCATACCCCCAATCATGCATATATCTAGACGTGTATATTTAAATATGTATGTAAATTTGATCAATTATACACTCAATTATTTGAAAAGAACAGTTGAATTATATTTATGAAGAGCGGTGATTTTATAAGCTTGCGGTAAACATACGAAATTAATTGAATTTAATTTGATGCCTCAACGACGATCAATCACGCAAGAAGTTAAAATTTATTTTATGGATGCTATATTAAACATTCGAGTGATTGAATTTTAATCCTCGGAATATTTTTGGATTTTACGATAACGAGAGGGAGAGCTGATTTATAAAAGTAGAAAAGAGAAACGCACGGTATCACTGCTGCTATTATACCTGTACGGTATCTTTGTCCAATTATATTTCCAATTATTTTGCGAGCACATCCGGCTTACATCGTAGTCGGCGCGTAACGTAGGCGCAATTTAATCATATTTCATTTTCGACCAATTATAAAAACGGAGATAGCCCAGAGAATCCCATTTGATTTTACGGTCGGTCTTTTTTAAAATAGCCCTTTTTATGTCTGTTATGTTTATATATATTTATATAGGTGAAATTATATACATACATACACACACACACACACACACACACACACATATATATATATATATATATATATATATATATACATATATATGTATATATATATATATATGCAATTACATTGCAATGAATGGCTTCATATATATTTTGTAAATCCGTATATTTTGTTCCATTCGAGCATTACACCATGATATATAACGACATTAAAGTAATATTATTTTGATTAATTATAAAATGTATCCTTTATGACATTATTATATTTATTTTTTTTCTTTTTACAAATCATCTATATTGAGAAAAGAGAAATAACGGTCTAAAAAATTTTTTTAAGTAATATTTTATTATTTATATTATATTTTTCAGTTATATTTTTTGCGATAAAAAATTAATGCAGAAGAAAAAATAACTTGACTCTGATAATAAAATATCTAAATATAGTTTATCATTGATGAGAGTTCAAAGCAAATCGAAATGTTTGGCGCAATCAATTGCGGAAGCAATCATATGTATATATATTGATATTTATACAATAATATCTGCAATCTAGCTTTTTTATTGATCTTTCTTTTATTATCAAAAAGAATATTTTCAAAGAATAAAAATATTTAATGTTTAAAATTTAATGTAAACGTTTCAAACTGCAAATGCTATATTTTTTCTTTACTTCTCTAAAGTCATATTTATATTTTGTTGTTATTTCGACGTATTTAAACTCTAAGAATATTACTTAATTTCATTCAAATGCAGGTAGGATTAATTTATCATAAAATATAGAAGTTGTACTTTAATGAAAATTTCAATAGTTCCTTAATGAGTTTCGAGCCCTTGATAATTAATTCCGCAAACTTATATTTCTGCGACCGAGTTAATTTCACCCACGCAAATTAGGAATTTAATCAAATCTCGGCAGTCATTTCGGCCGTGGCCACGCACAAAAATGGCAATTAAATCCGACATGCCGTTATTAAGTTCCACAAATCATTTGCGTAGTCTTGTGTTTCCCATGAAAAAGAAAAATGACTGAGAATTGATTACAATTTATGAATTTCAATGCTTTATTATAAGTATTGCTTATTCAATTGTCTGTTACAACGTCCAAAAACTGTCTATAAATCGTATGTACTATCACGAAAGTAATCACAGCTAACAGTAATTAACATAAAAATTTTTGCGAGACAGCTTTTGTTTATTGCAATGGATAGAATTCTAAAATTCCGTCCATTGCAATAAACAAAATCTGTCTCGCTGTATCTACGATAGTTACTCAATAACAATTGTTGAACTTAAAAAGTAAGGAGTTCCATTTTTTTGCGATGGATAAGATGGACCAATTGTAATTCAGTAGTCCAAAAGTTAGTAAAATGTGAGACATGTATTTATGCCGAACAATAACGTTATATTTTAATAAAGTATAATAGGCAATAATAATTAGAAATATATATATTGTTTCTTATCATGATTGTTTCATAGCACATGGAATGAAAACAGGAATTCTATTTCAAATTTATGTTTTGTATATAGCTAAAAAATTAATTAAATCTGAAAACCTTATTGTTAAATGAACGTAAATGTTCTATAATTAAGCACAAACATGATTATTTAATTAACCTGAACGAATGTCTAACACATAATAGGGTAATAATCGATAATCTCTTACTTTAGACGTGCGCAAATACCCCGATAATTATTTTCACGTACATGATAGCATATCAAATCCATTCGGTGCCTTTTGGCGTCGCCGAAGGGAGAAGAAAGAATTCGCGTTCCACGGATTGCGCGGCATGGGGTGGCACCATTTCTATTCATCGCGCAAAATAAAGCCGGTTTCGATCGCCGAGTTTCGATAACCATGAATATTTTATCTGCATAATATTTCCAACACACACATTCAGCGGCATGTTACGTCACACTCGCGCACGTGTATGCCGATTCTATCTCCCTTTCACCGTCTCCTCTCGTTTTCTGTCATCTCGTTAGACATTACTTATAGAGACGGTGGCTATAACGTACGTCGTCCTGCAGACTCGTATCGTGTTCACGGCGGCGCCGGTGTGTCGAGTGTCGAATTGAAGATCTCACACTCGTATCCGCGATTTTCACACGAGCTGAAAAAGGACGGCATGCGTTTTCGCGAATCGCGCGCGCGCAAGGGATACGGACACCGCAAGTCGGACGGAATCGAGGGGATAACAAGCTTCATGGACCGCCGCGAAATGGGCCGAACGTAAAGTCAGGACGTCGTTACATGATGCGTGTGATGGGTAATGTTGCGTGCCAAAAGTAATGTTGTTTGCCATGAAACGTTGTTAATAGACGCGTCGCGTTTTGCTGTCGACGTATGTTGCGCCATGATTTTATACGCTAATATATGTCATATCGTATACGTTGCGTGATGGTCGGTGTGTGTCGCAATATCAATAGCGATATTTTCGCGATCTATTAAATGTTAAAACTGTCAACATAGTAAACGTTGAACAAAAGAATTGAAAGCGGAATTTGTTGCTGTAAAATAACAAATAGTAACAATATATTATAATATTTAAAAACCCAAACACTGACGAAGAATAGAAATAAGAATTTAATTAATTAATTTGCTTGCTATATGACGTGCTCTCTGTTAAAAAAAAATGCGCTTAGCAAGTTGGCATACAAAATGCCCGAGATACGTAGGATAAAGACTAAATACTCCTTTCCTGCGGTCAGAGAAACCGCGTGGTGGAAATTTAAATTTACCCACGTACAGAAAACTTCACAAAGCTCAGTGGGCCGCTTAATAAAATTTTCTACGTACAAAAATTCCACGCGCGCGCCTCTTCTCATGTTCATGTACAGGTCTCAAGAGTGTACCGCGGGAGACATATAAAATCTCTGTCGCGCGTTTGCCGCGAGCGGGACACGAGCTCGCTGCTATGATTGCCCGTATTAGAAGCGGAGCACACGTTCGACGCAATGACTTGCAAATTCTGTATGCAATAGTGGTTAGCGGCGTACAATGTCGGGAACGATCGATTGCGCGAGATATGCACGCTCGGATGCTGCGCTTTTGCGAGCGCGGATCGCGTCGATGAACAGGTCGCGAATTCCCGGCGCGCTTGATACGCGGCGTTACTACGTGTTGCCCGATAAGCAGAGTTCACTGTGTGCAGATGTCAGCCCTTAACCCTTTAACGCTGCTTGCCTCGAATTGACGAGCCGTCCGTTACGAGTGATTTATATGATTAAGCGAGGCAGGACGTCAGGTTCATCGTTGGGCGATTGCCACATATTCATCGTAGCCAACGAAATATTTTTGCTCCATATTATTTCCGACAATTCTCATCGTCCGTGTATTGTACTATTGTAACAAAGTGCTCGATTTGTATGTCTATGCAATGCAGCACTTAGTTTTATTCATTTAAATTAATAACAATGATATTATATTAAAATGTTTCTATAATTTAAATTTTAGAGAAAATATTTGACATTTCGCGAATCGCGAGCGTGCAAGGGATACGAACATCGCGGATCAAACGAGAAAATATTTGTATGGTTAATAATGCACAAACACATAATTTGAGATAATGTAATAGGAGCTTAATTAAACAACATCTACCATATACTAGAAACACATGTTTTTCTATATTATGTTTATGATAATGATACAACCAAGTATGTGTAACTAATTAGAATTGCATTTGCGTTTTCAAATCTAACAATAAATTATGAAATGTATAACATTTACACACTTTAAACGGTATAAAAATCTAGACTTTTTTCTCTAAATTGAAAAACGCAAAATTTCTTTTTTGCAATACATCTAAAAAATGCTGTTCTTTGAACACGCGAATAAATGCGTTGAAAACAATTTCAATGTTTTTCTGTGTCAGGATTTATTTATAAAATTTATTCTACTTTAACTTCCCGATTAATTAGTATGTTTTCATCCAATTTCACGTAAACATTTTGGAAAACATAGTCATTTTCGGAAATATAATGAATGTAATATGTGCATAATAATCCTGTTAATCCATAGCGCGTATCGCATATACATATAACTTGACCCTTTACCTCTAGTATTCCCTTTACAATATATTAACACGATTTGCTATATCACATTTCGGCGCCGTGGTGCCTACAATGCGGGCTTCTCGCACACAGATTATCGAGTTCTATGCACATTCGACGTATCTTCGTATGTGTTCGAAATTCATGAGAGACAAGTACTCGCACACTACTATAATATTGTACCCTACAACGAGAAAGGCAATTGGCCTTCCACCCGCACCGTTTTCCCTCACTCACACGTGTTACACACGTCCTCCTCTACGAGACGACAATTCACACCGGTCATCATTGTGGGCTACGCACACCGACATATCGTCTCGAGTGGATCGTCTCTAGTGCTCCGTGCATCGCACCACGCGCGGCTAGTTTGCCTCACGCACTCACAGTGCGTGCGACTGTTTTGTCACGCGTGCGGCCGACACGCGTGTGTGCACGTTATACGTCGTCGTCGTCGTATTCGTCAGCTTACCTAAGTTTATTGTTAGAGAGACCGCGTACCACACTGTAGACGGAGCTTGAGGAGATTTAGTGCGTCTCGCATGCTGCTCTGAGTATCACATGTGCCGGCTCCGATCTATCTCGATCGTTCTTCGGTGTTACGTGGATGAAAGACATCTTAGTGATAATGCGTGGAAATGTGTGTTAATTTAGTACGAGTTTAGCTTAATTTAAATATTTGAGAAAAGTAAACTTATTGATTTTTCTATCATTATTACATTGATGAATCTTTGATAAAATTATGAGTGAATTAGTGAATTAGAATAATATGCAGCTGTAATTTAATTGATGTTTAATAGATATGTATTTCATCTTAAACAAATTTTCAAAGTTATAAAAATATAATGATATAAAATGTTAAAAGTTATTCATAATTATGATTTAATTTTATAATTTAGTAAATATGAAAAAAAGATTTATTTTACAATTTAATTTTTTATTAACAGCATAATCTCCGTTTTAGAAAATTTGACATAAATGTTTTAAAAATTATTTATACATATAAAAAAATTATTATTAATATAAAAATTTAGATTAAATTAATGTAACTAAAATATTCAAACTTAATAATAATTACAGTACAAAATAAAAAAAAAAAATAATAATGGATGGAAATTCAGAGAAAGGTATTTCTATGACGGTAATTAAATCCAAAATAGAATGACATACGACTCATTCTAAATACACAGAAAAGAGGATGGAGCCGGACCAGAATATACCAAAAGCAAATAAAAGTTGTCACAGTACGCACAGCTCCGACCTGTTTACACAGATTCCACAATTCTCTACCATTTTCCGTACTTTTCGTCACAAACCTGGAAATCAAGCGGAACGCAATAGCGAGATTCCGTGGGCATTGCACTATCGGAGAAACGCTCGCTCTACTACCGAGGTAACGGTGGTGTGGCGGAGCGAGGGAGTGAAAAACGAGAAATTAGGATTTCGAGGACAGCGAAGTGCTTGGAACACGAAAAACCAATTGCACGAGAACTCGAGAGGGGTTGGTGGAAAACGCGATAGCTTGATGAGAGTCCGAGAGTGGTGACAAGAGACACATTGTTTATTTTAGAAATAGTGTTATTATAAAATTATTAGACAGGTATATGTCAAATATGATACTAAAGTATCGCTAAACTATTTTTTGATAAATATCTGAACAAATTTAAAATATGTTAGCAAATGCAGTATTATAAAATAGATTAAATGATTAGTATAAAATAGATTAAAGGGGACCATATTTTAAAAAGAATACTAAAATATATCAGACTTAAAGACAATAAAAATTTAAATTGCATATCTATTAATATAGTTTTTTCAAATTATTTAAGTTTCTTGTTTTCTATCTCGGACTCTTCGATTTATAGACGTATATTGGCTTGTTTTTTGCTAAATATAGAGTATCGTCATATTAAAAAAAAAACTGAGTAGCCTTTTTTATCTTATTTCGCATATTATTTTATTTTACATGTGAGCAGGAATGTCAATGTCAATGTATTCGAATAGAATCGTTAAATTTGCAAAAGCGTGTTACAGTCTACCTAGCTAAATATAAACTCAAAACGCTTCTAGAAAAAAAATGTGCAAACCTAAAGCCTGACATTCGGCGGAAATTTCGATACTATAAAGTGAAATAGGCAAACCAATACTGTCGACAACATCGACCTTTCGAACCACAAAGCCGCGCCATTCCCTGACACCGCGAAGAATAAAAAGGCAAACGGATGTCGAAAAAGTTTCGTCCTTTCGCGGAGACGTCACCTGAACCGTCGTTGCTAAAATTACTCCACTAAAACCGCCCGCAAATTGCCGGACCCTTTTTCGTCATCACATTCGCCAGCAGAGACGACCCACGACGCGTTTTAATGTGCGTCGTTTTAAGCTTCATTCTTCTGGAACTAATACATTCTTAAATATGTCGACAATCCCATCTCTCTCTACGATTACGGCATCGTTGCCTCTTTCGTTTTCTCTCTTATCTCTAAAATTTTAATTAACTTTGGTAATTACGTATGTGGAACCGCGACGAAGAAAGAGAAAAGAGAGGAACGTTGTTGGTGTCGTGTATAAGTGTTCTTGGGAACGAATTCGGTATAAAAATAACATATGTAGATGTAAAGGTCACGAAATCGCGCAGTTTCAGTCGTTGTTGAATGATCTTATGAAACTTAGAAGCTCGAAAGAAGATTTATTTGCTTTTAAGATAAGATTAAATAAATTGTTGAACACAAGTAATATTTTTTATTTGGAAAAAAAATTGTAAAATATTTAACGTAATCCAAGTTTGAAAAGATACGGGAGATATTATTGATTTTTCAGTTTTCGTATAATTAAACCTTTTTTGCGACTTGAAAACTAAATCTCGCGCGAGAGACTTTGAGAAAGATTTATTTTCCACTTTCGATTTATTTTTACATGATATATCGTTCCATTTCTACTACGACGGTTCTACTACGTTCTACTACACGCGTCACATTTTATATATCTTTATTTTCTTCTAACTCAAAATTCATTCCTAGTTCTTGAGAAAACTTATTTTTGTTTATTTACGTTACATTTTCAGGAAAATTACTCAATGTTATTTTTCCTCTTTTTTTTATTTACGTGAGACTTCTCTCGCTTGATGATGTCATATAAGTATTTGAATTTTAATTTGTCTCGTCCTGAAAATTTCGTTATTCCCAGCGTGTTCGTACGCTGCATGTCGTACATTCACGCCATGTTATTGTGTGCGCATACGTAGATACGTACCCTGCACACAGACGTTTTACGTGTTCTCAGTTTTATGTCCCACCCTCTGCACCTGTGCAACACACTCGCTCGCTATCTCCAACCCGCATCTCGCTCCTTCGCTCATTCCCCATCAAGCTCCGTAGCTTAACAAGGGCATTAATTAATAATACCTCCCAGGGATAATTTGCGCCCGCTGTCTTGCATCAGCATTGCCATTGTCCGCGAAGTCGGCATCTATCCTTTGTGTCTGCATCGCGGTGCATCTTAAAATTGACCCGGCGCCATCTCTATATCCAACACACACACACATGCACACACACACACACTAAGGACAAACATCGGTTTTCTAGACATGATTTTAGGAGTAAAAATAAGCTCTAGGAGATAGCATATAAAAGCTGATTAAAAAAAGTTATTTATTATAGTTCTAGCTGATATTTGATATATACTATTATACATTTGTGAAAAATGTCTCAATTTGAAACATTCTGATGATTTTATAAAACTATAGATATATATGTATATGAAACTTTGTAAATATATGGAATTTATAGATTTTGTTACAGTGCGAGATGCTAGAATAAGATTAGATATTGTAGTTATGCATGTGTTTGCAATGAAACATTATTTTTACGAATAGCTCGATATTGTAACCGTTTCACTAATTTGCGACGTAAATTTACAAGTTATATGCGGATATGTAAAATTTGCAGTAGTTTATGAATTTTATTTGTTATGCTTTTTTTGGACACACAATTTTACTACAAGAGTAAATATATTATTTACAACAATATTTCTAGATAAAATAAGAGATATATATAAATATATATATATAGTACAAACTATAAAAAAAGAATATTCTTTTATCAATTTCTATACATTAATTTATTTTTAGAACGTATTTATTACATATGCCCTAATATTAGTTTTATAAATTTTTATTAACACACTGAAAAGAAAAGTTGTTAACTAATTGTAAATTATTCAATTAATTACACGGGTAATTCTGTTAATTGAACATATAGAAGTATTTACATTAAGTACAACATATTAAATCTAACATAACGTATTTGACTTAAATTAATTTAGTAAGTTAACAACTTTTTTCTCAATGTATATTTTTTGAGAGCCAAAAATGAAATGTTCACAATGTCAAGTTCAATTTTTAGTTTATATCTATACTTAATTGTTAGATAAACAATTGCAAATAAATTAATAGTTAAAATTATGGATAAAGCTTTATTAAATTACTCAATAGTAAGATTAATTAAAGAAATTAATGTGACATTCGATAATTTTAATACTTGTTTAAATATTGAGCATTGTTCGCGATATGTATATTATGTTTTTTTATTTAAATTCTTTGGAGATTTAGGTGATATGGTTAAAAAACCCTCAGGCGTTCGGATACATCGAGTTTGTTAAACCCATACTCACTACTGCGAGCCCCTGAGGAATTTTATATTTTATCACGATTGCTAACATATATATTATATATATATATATATATATATATATATATATATATATATATAATATTATATGCGTATTTTATTTATCAAAAATCATCTTATAATTGTGCATTATTTTATAAATTGACTGACGTTATACAAATAAAATTTATTTTAATAATGTGATGAAAAGAATAATACAGTGCATTCGTAATCAGCAACAATAATTCAATTCTACTATGTAGATTTCTCATAAATTGGGTTTGCCATTTTATACGGAGTTCGACACATTTCTCATGAAATTACGTCGTGATATTTTCAAACTGTATGCTTTTTGTGGCCGCGTGTCCCCGAATTTTCGATCGAAACAGTAAAAATTAAATGTTACACTTTAGATATTGCAACTCGCAACTCGCAGAATAACATTCTACATTTTTATTGATAAAAAAGTGACTGTTATTTTATCAAAACCATAAATTTAAATCAAATTTTAGATTTTTTTGTTGAACTGACTATTATATATTTTTTCAATTAAAATTTATATTATTTTATGTCCAAATTTCTTTTCATTTGTTGAATATGTCATTTATGAATAATTTTGAAAGAGTAAAATTTTTCTTTTTCTCTCAATGTTTTGTTATAAAAACCTAAAATAAAAATTTTGTTGAAAAAATTCGTGAATTTCTTATCTAAGTTTGTTCGAATCGGAGATGTGAGAATCACGTTTCATAGTGCAAAGTAAATTCTATCGCAATGCATTTTTCCATTGCTATTCTACATGTTTATTTTAACTTGAATTACAAACAAAATATATTTCTTTTCATGGTGTGGCAAATGATTTTTCGAACCCTTCGATATATAAAGACGTCTCGAAGACGCCTAATGATGATGATAACGACGGCATGCCGTTATAAAACCATTTGACACATTAATTAATAGAAAACTTCGTCATTATATTATATTTAACTGTGGTTTAATTCGAACAGGATCAATTTGCTTTTATATAGCGTAACTGTGTTGCTTTTTGTATGCCAGGGATCAATAAGTCTTTGACCAGAAATGTGTTCATTAGCGGAAAATCGAGACTTTTAGATGGAAATTAACGAGGTTGTTTTGAAGCATAGTTAGAGGTGAAACGCGCTGCTTCCACGATCCATCCGCCCCCAATTAACCTACATGCGGATAAAATTCAGTAACGTTGTTACTGAATACAGAAATAGCTACACATTTTAATTAAAATCGAACAAAATTTAATATATAGCAATTTATTATTATGTTAGGATTACAGATGATTGACAATTGATTCTGTTTTAAATTTGATATTATTATGGAAATATTACGTACATCGCAAAGTTATAATCATTTTATAAAAAATATCTGACAATGAGCATATATTACAATACGTATCTTTGTTTGGTACTCACAAGTGCACAATTTATCTCTGAAGCATAATGCATTAGATATCTTTATTGCATAATTAATTATTTAACCGTCACGTTGAAAGTCCATAATAAAGCAACATTTTTTTAGCAATATAGTTTGCATCAGAAAACACACAAAACATATCAATATCACGCAGTAAAAATGATATGATTTTTACTGGAAACAGATGCAACCGGTATTATTAAGTTGATTCAATTAAATTTAGGTAATTTCTCTCACAAATTGAAAACATGCCTTTCTTATTAAAAATTATGTAAACGTGTGAGAATATTTTTAATGAAACAAAAGTCGGTCTCTCTCCGTTTCAACCAATTTTATTTATATCATAAATTAATTTAGTTATTTAAAATCGTAGATTTTCTCGTGGCGAATAAAATTCTGTTTTAAATAGTTATTAATGGCACACAATTTCTTTGAAGAATAATTTAACATTTTTTAAAGAATTATATAGCTGGTACAGTCTTTGTTATCTACGTAATTATATAAACGAAATAATTGCAAAATTGTTTTTGCATGCGCCGTGTAAATTACACTGTTATCCATTCGTAATAATGGTATGACATAGAAATTAAGATGGCCATTTCACCGTCATTTAACTCCGTGCTGATCCATTTTATTGTGCGGAACGCGAATAATCACGAAAATTAACTGCCAAAATTTATAACAAACGTAATGCATTCGTATGAGCGAGCAGGGGTATAATACATCGCAAATCCGAATCTTATTGTTAGTATCAAATGCCAGGGGCATGCTGAAATCGCATAAATGTATGCCATTTATCATGCTGCCAGATCTTACTATGTTGGATGAGTGACAGCGCGTTAAATTTAGCATTAATGATGCGGTTCGAGGTACTATCACGAGACGGAAGTTCGTTAATTAGTTATCATGAAAAGTGTACCGCTACTTATGCCACGTTCCACACATCGCGTCACACCGACGATAAATTCCAATTCTCTGCCATGACACAAAAGATGCATTCAGAATTCAATCTCGATTTATATTACATTTTAAATGCGCTACGAACTCTTTTGACCGATTATTGATTTCTACAATTGTAAGATTGTCATAATTAAATCAGTACGTGCATATACATCAGCACGTATCTATGGAAATATTGATATATTTTTTCTGACGCAGATAAAAATAATATTTCTAATTAGAAATTGTAGGTTTAAGTGTTTATTTATAGCTGAAACAATATATATAATACTCGAAATACATATAATATTAATTTAAGTTAGATTACTTTTATTTTCTTCTTCTTGTTTCATACAGATATCTTTTATTATAAAAACTTGACGGATCTTAATTGCAAACTTTAAATTGCGTGGAGACCCCTCCCCCCAAAATATCCAATTTAAATTTGAATATCAGACAAATTACATATTTATTTATATTAAATATTTTATCAAAGAATTTTTCATCCTTAGATATCCTGCGACTGCAACATAATGGAAAAATAGAGAAGAATTTATTAAAAATTATATATACAATACATTTTTGTATAATCTAAACATAATTACATATGGAACAAAGTGACTTGCATATGAAATAAATGTCTTCTTTGTCGAGAAAAAATTTTGCTAATATATAACTAGATTTATATTTTTACTAAATGAGAGAATTAGTTTTTGTGATATAATTTTGATTGTGCCAAAAGAGTTCAGTGGATTCATCTACGAGCATAATTTTTCCGTATAAAACGAAATAAAAGTGCTTCAATAACAAACTCTTATGAGAAAAAAAAAGATCACGTTGCGTGCATCGTTCGTAAACTCATCATGTGTACAATGCAACTATTCGCCATGCCTGATACAATCGCATCCTATTAATGAATGCAATTCGCATCTGCGGCACGCGCGTTAAAATTGTTACGAAATCTTGCGTCACGTGTGCGAGAATCGAAAGTCAGGCGGAAGGAAGGAATAAGAAAGGAAGGAAGGAAGGAAGGAAGGAAGGAAGAAAGGAAGGAACAGAGAAAGCACGCGTGTTAAGCATTATTAAACTTCTCGCGCTCTAATCCAAGTGTAACCCGCGCGGTTTACGTGGTCGGAACGAAAACTATGCGGCACGATGAAGAGGCCAAGAAGAATCGGTGGTGGCCTACCGAGCGGGAAAAAGCTGGACTACTGCCAGAAGGTGTGTCAAGCTCGAGGAATATTGCTGGTGTACTTGACTATCTGTGCTGCGCTGCCGGCACTATTTTCACCGGTTAGTATCGATGAATCTTTTTATGACTGCGCGATATTTTATCGTCTTTCGTTTTCGATATTTCAGCGATATGATTAACGCAAACTCTCCTTGTCATATCAATTGCATATTCATGCAGTGATTGATTATTAAAAAAAAAAAATATATAGTTTTTCAAATATTATACATGTATTCCTAAGATTATTAGGAATTCGGAGTATTCCTAAATTAATTTTTTAATAGGCGTAACAAATGCTAATTTTTCCATCAAATATTTTATAAATATATTTAATATGTATATATTAAATATATTTATTCGATAGTTTATTTTTAATGTTATGATTCTTATTAGATAAAAAAATTCTAACTTATTTCTGAAACTTATATATTTTGTTATAAATAGAATTATAATATACTAAATAATACGTAACTTCTATTTGCTTCAAGAAGCTTATGGTAGAATTTTTGATAATAAATTTTAGCAAACGTTATGGATACTATTTTTTGTCGATCTATCAGAAAAAAAATCTGATATTGTTCGTGAGAAAATAACTCACAAACCATACTATCACGTACCATCGTCAACAATATCGAGCATAATGACAATATGATTTCTACGTCGCTGATGCAGACGTAGAAGTGAAACTTTTCTGCAGTCGTTCTTTAATATAAGGTCTCGCGGTCTCACCTGAGAAATGAAGAGCATAAATCACGGTGCTCATCAAGCCTCGCGTGGTCTCAATTTTGCAAAACTTTTCCCACAAATCTTTGCTGCCCGCCTTGGGCGCTGTCATCTCCATCTTTTAAAGATTAGTTTAATGTCGTTCGTGACGCTTGCCGTACTTCAACTTTATAATGAGAAAGTCACTACGACGGAACGAAATAAGCAATAACACTTGATGTTACATAATGAATACAGAGTATCACATTGAATTCACTTTTATGAAAAACACGTACATTATTCTACCTAAAACGTTATCTAATAATGTGTGATGAAGTGGTAATAATATTATATTTTATCCATAGAATACACACGTATACACTTAATTACATACACCTAAAACTGAGATATAATTATTACTAATTGGTTATATATTTGCAATTAATTGCTGAATTAATAATTGCAATGCTTATAATTGTAATTTTTTTTATGCAAATATTTTAGTAATTATATGACTTTTATATAATTTTATTTTATACGAGATTTGTGTTATAATATATTAAAAGCAATTTGACGATAAATTCTACACATACATACCATACATGTATATAAAAGGTTAACCATCGCATAAATACATTTAGAGCTTCTAAGACAATTCGAGAGCTGGTCCCTATTAAAAATAGACTACTAGATCCGACAGAACTACTAATAGAAATGCGCCGCAAATTCGGTCATCGTAAAATCATAATAAAGCCAATATATTGATTTATAATTTACAGTTCTAACTTTTTTTTCTCAAAATATTTTCATTCTTAGATTTATCATTGTGTTAATCCTGCATATTTTTTAGCCCAAGCGCGTGATCTTTTATCCTTTTTTCAATTTTAATATCTTGTAATATTTCCATTTAAGTATTTCATTTTATATGATTGCATTTTTACATCTTTATATATGCGATGATAAATTTCACAATATATATTTATTTTTTTATTTCAAACTTTTTCTTTGATCTCGTTTTAGATTTGTTATAGATTATAAAAATATATAAGTTCACCCGCTCTCTTCCATTTTAACGTCGAAAGGGCGTGACTGGAAATATAAATTGAGAGAAACGACCCTTATAAAACGCGAGGGTAGTATTAGAGGATGTCCTCAGACGCACTCGAACGCGAATGCAGCTCTATGCGTCGAGATATGCAACCCGTAACGCTTCACAAGCAAAATAGGAACTAATTAAGCACACGAGAGTTTAAACGAGGCGCGGCACCGGCCGTAGTGCAAATTGCAAGTCGTATTAACAATTATCTCGTAATTGTCTACAGTACGCTCAGGATTTGTAAAGCTAGAATTAAATTCGCAAGTAACGCTGGCTGGCACTTCGTATCTCGGCTCCGTGTGTTCCTTTCTAGGTGCATATTTCCCAGTCTATTTTCACTCAAATCTTTATCATTGTATTTCTCGCTTTGACATTTTACTCGAATGTAAGGAGAAAAGTGAATTCCGCAGTTCTTTTTAAAAATAAAATATAGCAATTTTGCAGAACGCGAAAAAATTCGCATATCATTCAAATATTTTTTGTATTGCAAGTATATTTATTGTGTGCACCTTCAAACATATATTATGCGTATATACACGTGTAAATAAATGTATGTGTATCAAATATTAAATTATAACACAACATAATAGTAGCTATAAAATATATAGTATTAATTCTATATATGTGCAAGAATGCTATATGATTAAAGATTAAACTAAAATTTCTTAAAAATTTGGCTGGAAAAAAACTTTTTTAATCTATATAATCTTATAATGACTTGTGATATAAGAAATTTTAATTCTTTGCAACAAATTTATTTTAAGTGATGCAACGTTAATTTTGCATTAAAAATAACGATGCGCAAAAAAATAAAATATTGGGATTCGCGACGCCAACGCCTTTTTTTTTGTAACGTGTTTTTATGGAGCATTGGCTTTATGACGACCATATGTTACTATAAAAGCATGCATGCACATGTGTTCGCACATTCGTGAAATTCCAACATTTCTAAATGTATGCGACTACGTAAAATTGTGTCAAAGGAAACATGGGTGATAGCTTACGCTTTTATATGCCGCGCTCAGCTTGATCCTCTTGAATATCAAATATTGTCCGTATATTAAAGCTTGAATAAATTAGTTTTCAGGTAATATAATACGTTATAAATTAAATACTTTATAATATTATAAATGAAATATTATATGTTATAAATGAAATTCTTTGATATATATATTGTTTATTATGTAACACAATTTTACACGCGTGTCAAAATAAAAATTTAATTTTGCCTGTGAGAAATCATTCACGCGCGGGAGCACTTTTTTCTATTCCACTACAATATATTTTTCATTCTCGTATTATAAATCTTATTTAGAATGTTAAAGAAGATTTTTTAAAGCCACATTGAAATCCTCAGATGTGAGGTATTGTGCTGAAACATGGTAGATAGTCTTAGTCTTGGTCAAGTACTTGTGCGAAGTTTACTTACCTCTAGGGGAACACGAGCGGCGCATTAATTGGTTTCTTGAACCGAGTGCCACATTTGAAGTTCCCTGCAAACTAAACATCTGGTTTTAGCGGTCTAAACATTCAGGTCCCGTGTTGATTTTCACGCGGGGGAGGACATCAAACCAAGATAATATTTAACTGATATTTGCTAAACGAAATTAATGCTCTAAACTTGAAACAAATTTATTCGCTTTAAAATGATCTTATTGTTAAATAAAATGTCATTTTTTCGACTTGTTTAATATATTTTATTCAACAAACAACCATATTTTTATGAAAAATTCAAATATATATTAAATTTGCCTTCTTTATCTTTTCGTACCCGTATTAAACACTTATATACTTCTGATATATTTACCGATTCAATTTCTATGAAACTATAGCTTCTATGAAGCTTGAAGTAATTTATAAACGATACAGTCTATTAGATAATCGCGCGAATATAGAGTTGCCAGAAATAATATAACAGCAGCCTCTTCAAAGGGGAGAAGCTGTTTTACATTTACCGTAACAGTGCGGCGGAAAATTCGATTCACTACTGCTCGATTTTCCCCGAGACAATGCTAGCTATCGTATCGCCGAAAGGGAGAACCGAAAACAAACTATCCTCCACTGTATTCTGGCGGAAACGAACCGCGTGTCTATCAATAGAGCGAGCTGCAACTCGATTTGTCTTGCTCGCAGAGAGAGAGAGCAAATATACAGAAAATTGAATGCAACATTAATTCGAATAAAAGTATTGTTCTTTTTCTTATTTCCTTCTGTGTTTACGTCATCTTGCTCGCTTTCAGAAAATAATAATGCGCTGTGATTGATAATAAACAAGATTAACGAGAGAAATAAAATATATTCGTATTATCAATGATATAATATACGATAAAATTAAAGTAAATATTCTTTTGTAAAAAAATACGAGAAGAATGCGACTTTCTGTATTTTGTTTGAAAATTGTGCAGCTTTGCGAGAGACATATGATCTCAAAAAGGACAGATGACTCGCAAAAGTTTGGTAACTGTTGTTCCCGGCAGGGACTATCGAGCGGTCGGTCTGTCGCAAAACGCAGTCACTCGACGTAGAGACTATCCCGAAAACAAAACTCTCGGGTCTCTCTCTCTGTGCCGGAAACGCATCACGCGGTTAGCCATAAAGAGGATCGCGGTGGAATCGTCGCGCAAAGGGGATGCAAGCGAGGAATAGTCCGGGCGCCGGCAGTTACTTACGTTTAGGACGATTTACCTTAATTAATTAACCGGCGTTGTGACGGGGCGCTAATTTATGCTCATAGAATGATTCACCGCCACTTCTGAGCGGATTGCGGTTTAACCTCCTTCTTACTCGGGCTCGACCGCCGACAACGAGCCAGCTTGAAATTCGGCCGTCGCGCTCTGCCTGACGGATGAGCCGCGCTAATTAGAAGTCACCGTGAAGCGTCTCGAATGGCCGTCGAAAACTCGGACATGTCTAGCCCCGGCGACACGTGTCTCGCAAAAGCGTCTCCGTCGACATCAGAGGAAATCTTTTTGTCATTTTTGTTTGTAGAAAAAGTAGGGTGGGCTCAAAGTAATATTCTATCAAGATTAATACACTTCATCGATTAATTAATCGAACAAGTGTTGATTTATTCAATGTAATTTTCTCTCCACTGACAATGGTGTACAATTAGAAATAAATCTTTTTTAAAGACTACCATGTATTCTGTGCCGGAACGAGATTGATATGTATACCTATTTGTATGAAACTATTATGCATAAATGGTTTATAATAATGTGAAAACATCCGTCCTCTTACAGAAAACGAATTTCGCGCATTACATCA